GCTTGTCAGAAAATGTCAAAAGTGAGGATGCCATGAATACTGGGGGGATGCCCAGAGTGAGGCATCTTCTTTTAACCAGTCGGCATCGAAGATTGAATGCCCTTGGCTGTATTTATTTTTAGTAAGCAAAAACCAAGTATGAGCTTAGTTCATTTAAAACTACTACGAATACTAGAAGCCAATCAATTATATAGTGTTACAAATATGAATGTCATCTTATCATAAGATAATACTTATTTGTTTAACATTTTTAAACAATATCAAAAAAAATAATATTAATGTAAAAATAAAAATTGCTTTTAGAAACTTTCTATGTAAATATTAATCCGAAGTTCTTTATTTGACATATGCATGTTTAAGACTTTTTGAAGCTTTTATTTATTTTTTTTGATTTTCGAATTAGATTGAAATCAAATAAGATTTCAAGCATACTCTTTTAAAGTTTCAAAACGTATTCCTAAAATGTAAATATTCCTAATAAGACATTTCCATTTAGCGGGAATTGAATTTAAATACATTAATTTTTAATTACTTAACGCCCCGAAACGGAGAAGTGTGAAATCCGTTTAAATCAATTACTTTTTACTTGGTTAATAGCCGCTTAAGGATTTGTAGGCGTCAGTCGAAGCTGCTTGAGTGTTTTTCCCCATTAGCCAGAAACGCCGACAACTGCAAAAGCGACTCAAAAAAATATGTTTAAGCCCATTTTGCGGAAACAGTCAAAAGAGTTTCGTGAGGGGTTTCGAGGGGGATTTATGGGGAATTTTGTGGAGACTTTTGACCAATTGTCACAGGCGCCATGCCATGGTCATTGAAAACGGTGAAAGACGAGCTGACCAAATGGACAGGGTTCGGGACAGCTGGATGACTGCTGTGTCATCTTGCAGGCGCCTCTTTGTTCGGAGTCCCTCATCCAGTCCCCCCTTCGGAAAACCCCCCTCTCATGCGATCCATGAAATTGTTACCAGTTTTGCCTAAAGATGGCTTTTTGCCTCGCCTGGCACTGATGACCTTTTACGTCGCCTTAAGACTGCCTTCACTTCATCACGGACTCGACTTTGCAGAGAAGTTAAAAATTTGCATATCATTCATTTTCCTGGCGCTGAAAATTAGTTGCGAGGGAGGCCGCGATAAAAACAATTTACGATTATTTCGTCTGCGGTCTTTTGTGGCCTTTCTACGCATCCAGCGGCCATAAATTGCGATAAAATGTCAAGGATTTACCTGGGTCCAAAGTGAAAGACTTAAACTTAAGACAAACCAGGGGAATCGCCAATCCAGACGGGTTGACAATTTAATTGAGCCTACAAGGTCGTAAACGGCCTTCTTTCACTCGCTGGAACCAAAAAAACAATCAGCAATAAACATTCCAAAAATGATTCATTCAAAATAAAAATTCAATTTGCAAGAAAAAGCACCAAACGAGTTTTTTGCATACAAAAATTCTTTTTGCTGATTTATCTGCCATTGACTGATTGTCTTTTAATGGCGTTTAAAGCATTTCAAATTTCAAATGTTAATTTGACAACGTATGATTGATGTGCAATACAGGTATTATGAAATAAATATGTTTTCAATTTCGTTTAAGGCATAGAAAGAATTTTGAATGACAGCAAAGTGGGTCACTGATTGTCAGTATATCCTGTTGGGCCAGACAAGATGTGGGTGAATGATTTCGGAGTGGTTTTCAGCTCGTGTCTGCTAAATGTCGAAGAAAATCAATTAGCGGAGATGAAACATCCGGCTGACGATGGTGATGAGTCAAGCCAAAATCTTGGTGGCGTGGGTTTGGCATGTAAATTGCGTCTAAGCCTCGTCTGGTAGGTTTTGTAATGAACCGAAAGCCCACTTTAACCTGTTCATGAAGGAAGGAAAACATATTGCTATATCTGACATTCAGTTTCCATAATTTCATCATCAGTTTTTTATTATTTTTATATTTAGGCCACTTTAAATCCTTACCCTTCCGTCCCAAAATGTTGATTTTTGATTGAGGTTTAAAGTTATAGCATTTCAATCAAGATTTAACTGCTAATGTAAATTGATTAACAGTAAAAGTAATAGCATTTCAATCAAGATTTAAGTGTTAATTGAATTGGGTGGCAAGAATTTTATCTTAAGTTGCCTTTATATTTATTTTATGCGATTTTTTTTATTATATTAGCTATAATTAAATTGTTTAAAAAATGCTATGTAATGTAATGTAATAAATAATTCTTCAATTCAATTTAATTACACAGCTTATTTATAGTTGATAAGTTTGCTAGAATAACAAAAATGTTAATGATTTAAAAATAATTTCCATTTTATGATATAAATTGTAGGTAATACATGTCGTATAAGTAATTTTACATGTCGTATAAGCGATTTTTTATGTCGTATGAGTAATTTTTTTTAATGTCAGGGAGATTTTTTCAAATAAATCTTTATAGCACCTCTTACATGTGAACTAGAGACTTAGTATAAATAGATTTTAAACATATATGCTTTGAATATATTTATTATTGTACCTTCTTAAGTAATACCTATTACCTTAATTTGACATTTGTAGTTCACTTCCATTCCGATTGATTTTGTTTTCTTTTTTTCGTTCCCCGTTTTAGCCATGTGCCGGCCATAAACCGAAGACACGCTTCCTAATTGAAAACAGAGCCAGCTAAATGGACGCGTAGCAAAAGGCCAAGAGTGCGAGCGAGAGGGCGAGTGTGTGCGACAGAGAGAGAGCGTGAGAGAGAGAGAGCGAGCGAGACGATCGTGATTTGGATTTTCAGCCTGATATCAAAACGGAGCGGACAGCAGTGAAGCGGACAAGAAAAACAAAATTCACGCCAAAATGTCCAACGCCACAAAAATGGTTTACAGTTATAGAATTTTATGGCTTTCCGGCGTTTTACTAGGTGAGTAGTGGCCTCAATAAAGACTTCAATTTCGAGTCAAGTCGAGACGGAGACACAAATTAAATGCTAAGTGCGTCGATTAGGCCAGTCGGTTAACTGACTGTCATCAAGCTTTATTTCGGATTTTGGCCGAGTCAGAGTGTTTGGGCCATGCGTGAGCCAAATAACTTAAGAAATTGGCCATGGTCAATGTGGGCGGAGGAGGAAGCAGCGAAAAATTCAACACAACTGGCCGACTGGGGAATTGCAGGTGCAAAAAAGTTGGCCAAAAAGGTTTTTTAGTGGCTTAAAAAGACAAGCACTAATTGGCTAATGAGCTAAAATATTAATATTAATTGCTGTAAATTAAAGATAACAAATAAAAGCAAATTTCCTTGATAACTATCATAAATAACGTCTAAGTATTAAGAAAAAGTATGAAAAATATTAATAAATGAGGAAAAACTTAATGCAATTATAAAGATTGAGTCTCATAACTTTTTTGCTTTTAAGAGCACAAGATCTGCATATCGCTGAAATGTTAATTTTTCACAGCCAATTACTATCAATCATCAATAAACTGAGGAAATCAACTTGTTTTTCATTAAAAAAATCGTCAGCCATAGTTATAGATAATAATAGCTATAAATAAACATTTAATTTTAGATAATAACCATTTTTATTGTAATTGCATCGTTACGTTTCCAAACTAGTAATAAAATAAAGACATTTTTCTTTGATAAATTTATTAATTTTGTAATCAATATTTTGTATTTGTAGCCATTAAAATAAATTTTTGAAATGTCGAATCAAAAAAAGTTGTTTGTAAATTGAACAGCTTAATTTATTAATTAAAATAATTAATTAAATAATTAAAATCTAAACATAATTCACAAATACAAAGTTAGACTTAGTTGCAATTGAAAATGTCATATAAAATAAAACTGCTTTATACTGATTTTAAAATTGAGTTCTGGGAATTGTAAGTTTTTGAAGAGGCTTAAATACGATTTTTTCTGAGACTACAAACTAATCACTTATATGTTCCCCTATTTTCAGGTCCCATCTTGCTGGCCGCCATCGCGGTACAAGGTCAAGAGCCAGCCAGTCCAGTATTTCAAAATCACAAGACGAAGGAATGGACGAATTTAGATAACATAACATTCTCATTCGATTGCAAGAGGCGTTCTGTTGGCTTCTATGCCGACATGGAGTACAATTGCCAGGTGAGAAAATCGGAAGGGAAAATTATAGAGCCAATAAAGCTCAAGCCAAGCTTTGATAGAGGTTTTTCCATTAGCCCGAAAGTATACCATATTTATGTCTTTTCAATCCATAAGATCTTCCACATGTGCGATGAGGAGGGCAATCGGATTCCACATCTGTGCGCCAACGAAACGAGCTTTAACCAAGAGTACAGAATCTGTGATTGGGACTACAACTTCAACTGCACAGAGTCACCTGTGAGTGCTATAATATAATACTTCCTTTTAAACATATATTTATTTCACATCCCCCCATTTAGAAATGGTTCTACCTGAACGAACTGACCTATGCCACAGATCCGCCAGATGAAGATGATGAGGATTACTAATCGACTTGCAATTAATTAAATATTTATTGTCTCTCCAAAAGCAAACAAACTAATTAAATTAAACGCCGTATGAAAAACGCTGAGTAATTGTAACTGAAAAACAACAACAAAACTTGTGTGAAAACTCTGTAAAATTCCATGCAAATGAGATAAACTAATTTAAGCGCCTTGTTGACGATTTTGTTGAGTTTCGTTTTGTACTTTTGTATTGTAGTCTAATTGATTGAGTCGTGCGAGGAGTCGTGTTGTGTATATAATGTATATAGAGATGGTCCCCAGTTCCATTTCATTCCAATTCCAAATCCATTTTATAAATTTCCATTCGAAATACACGGAACAACCTCGGATGGGTCCGCCACATTATTGTATAATTTACAAATAATCTTCGTATTTGTAAGCAATCTTAAATCGAAATAAAAACAAAATCAAATTGCTACTCTAATGCTTGTCTAATTAATTGGATGAACAAAATGTTTTCACAATTTTCGGTAATTTGTTTTTCGTTTACTGTTGTTGTTTCACACGTCACGGGAATCCACCGATCCATTTGTGTATTTCGTGGGTAAACAACCCCAGTATATTGGTTGCTGGCACCAAACGTAACCCGGATGAGTCAAGTTCAATGACGAAAGTTCCACAAAGTGTTGGAGCCAAAAAAGTGTATTTAATTGCGAAAATTGGCATCCGTCAGCGGGGCGGAAAATTGTCGCCTCTCCAGTCACATTTTTATAAATGGCAAATGCCCGAGTTTAGAATTGTCAGTTTGGAAACGAATCTCTATCAAAATGTCACACCAATCCAGCTTTTTATCTGTGCTTCTCATCGCGGTCCTATTGTCGGTAAGTCCTATATAAAATGGAATAAAATGTTTTGAATATTAATACATTTTTATTTATTTTTTATAGCTTGTATCTGCTCAATACTACACACCTTATAATCCCTACTACACGCCCAGTCCGACGTTCGCCAGTTTGAACAACTATTATTACTCGACGACGCCGTATCCTTACTACTACAACACGTATACGACACCGAGTCCCTACAGCAATGCCCAGATTCGCATCTGGCCATATGTGATTGGACAGTATCTTTATCCCACCTACTACAACACTAACTATTACAATCCCTATGCCTCCTTGAGCAGTGCCAACTGGCAAAGATACTATGCGAATGTCTATGAAACAAATTGGGGAAAAAAGTAATCCATAGTTTATTATAAGTGTTTTTCTTTTGTTAAGATGTTCTGCCAATAAAAATATTTATTTTGATATAAAATGAATACTTAATAATTAGTTATTTAGTGGGTGGTATCTATGTATTTTGGTTAATCAAAAGCGAAGGCGTTTTGAATGTAAATAATAAATATTGATGCTCAACCTTTTTGTTATCAGTAGTTGCTAAGACAAAAGATATGTGTTCACCTCCACAAATTTCACTCCACTTTTTCTGTTATAGCTAGATATTACTAGGTATTGTTCACTCCCTAAAAGTGCCTCGTAAATTACAAAGGCAATTGGGCGATTAAGATAGTCTAATGGTGTGAAATGCCTAAACCACAATGACTTTAATCAAAGAAAATCTGGTTTTTCCTTATGCACAAAAATTAGCCTATAAAAGGGAAATCAGAAATGTAATTGGATCGTTTAAGATAGCTAATTGCTGTGAAAGAATAAGAAGTTATCTGAGACACATGAGCCCCTAATAAAAATGCAAATGTCGCGACCAAGCAATATTGATAATCCAGAACGTAGATCGGTCTAAAACCAAAAAGGTGTGAGAACCGTTAGGATTACGACTGCTTTTTGAATGGAACTGTCTGATATAGTTTTTTCGGGGGTATATATCTAAACAAGACCTTTATGGGGTTTCGTTGACATTGTCATAGAGCAACCAAACGAGCCGGAAAACCTGAACCCAGAGCTCAACCTCCGACTGAACCTGAACCTGAACCCATGTTGGGTGTACTTAACGGTTTTCACAGACAATCGCTAGTTCCAGTTGGCCACCATTATGTAATGATTTGGACAAACCTTTTGGATTACACTTGGATTGCAGGCCCTGAGGAGCAATGAACCTGCATTGTTTATGTAAGCGATATGTGGCAACTTCATTTGATGTAATGCTAATAAAGTGTAAGATCATAAAATGACCACCTGTTTGTGTAGATGTGTCTTTTATGCATTTCTGGAGCTACTTTCCAAGGGAATGTTCTGGTTAACTGTAACTTCCTCACGGAACAGTGACAATTATTAGCCACAAATCAAAATATATATCGATTCGAGATGAAAGGGTTCTCAATAACCCAGCGAATGCGACATTATCATGCAAATTGACTGAGACAGATGATCTTCAGGGAATGTGAATGGGTTGGGTGCGTAACAGAAAGAGAGGGAATGGGCTGAAAAGAAAAAGAGAGAGAGAAACTGCGTAGTGGGGAAATGGGTCAAGACAATCCAATCACGAAATGCGGCTCAAAGCGACGGATGGCTTGTAAAAGGTAGCCGGCAAAAATGTTTGGCATCGGTTCACCATGCAGGCTAAACACGAATTGAGAAAGCCACAAAACCCATTTATCTCCCAAGGCCTCGCAATGCTCTTTTGGGAAAATTGTTAAATTATTTTATATTACCAATTAGTTAATTGAAAAACTGCAACTCACTTTTTGATGGAGTAAATGCAGCAGAACGTAATAGCTGCAGATCCACCAATTTTCTCTTATTAGCTAAATGCATTTTTGGTTTTTCAATTACTGAATTCGTTATTTACACTCTCATTAATAAATAATAGACAACAAATATGTGTTCTTGGGTTAAATAAAATGGTTTAATTATTTGTTTTTTATTACAAATAATAGTAGGATTCCTGAAATTTCTTACGATTTGCTCTTAATTTTAAAGCAAGTAAGTAATTTTTAAATTTTTTAATCTTACAAATTTCGACTAATACATTATTTACTGAAATGTGATCAGAATTTGCACCAAGATTGAAAGATTAGGAAAGACCCTAACGATTTGTTGGAATAGCAATACATATGAGGGCACTTGGCCCAAGTACCTCCCATTTTGTGACGTCAGTTGTGCGTCTTGTCACGTTCACAAACCGTTTTCATGCTCTGAGCCATCACACGACAATTCGTAATAAAGGCAACAGATACAGGAAGCCAACAAAAAGAGAGGGACACCGAAGATAAGGCCGAGATGGAGACATTGACTTTGCAGTTTTTGGTGGCTGCTGCCGTTTAGGGGAAATTGTGAAGAAAGTGTTGAAAACGAAATTGTAACTGGGAGAGCGTGTGTCGCTGGCTTTTTGTGAGAGTGCCAACTAGTGTTGGCCAAGCAAACACGACGAAGAAGCGCCAAGTTGGCCAAGACTGGTCCGCATCTACCAAAAGTCCGAGCAGCGAAGTCGGCCGAGGCAGCGACTTCAGCGGTGGATCTTACCAGGTAACCGGGGCCAGCTCCGATTGCCAGTCAACGGGCACATCTCAAGCGTTGCAGTCGCTTTCCATGCGAACTCGATCTTAAAGCCACCATCTGCACTCCTTGGCCAACTCAAGTCTCGTGTATATTTAGTTTTTGGCCAACATCTGCGTGTCTGCCATAGATTCGCGTGAAAGTGGTTCAAATCAATCTCAAATAACTCAGGATACAGCGAGTGTGCTGGCAATTATCATACACTAATCAAAGAGTCACAGCCTTCATTATGGTGAGTACGAAATCGGTTAAGACCAGCGGCCAAGTTCAATTACCACACGGAAAAAATTTAAGAGCTAACTTGTGTGTAACTCATAAGATATTAATACATTTGCTAGAAAGGATACAACAGAACCCATCGTATTGTTTCAAATTAATGTGAATAAACAATTGATTGTTGCCGGTTTTGCACCATAGAATTTAAAAAGCAGTTCTGAATTGTCAATATATAGAATGAAATAGAAGTGATTTTCCGGTGCATTGTTTATTGAAATTCTTGGCACGCGTTAACTGTCCCAAAAAGCTTTTCCTCAATCTTTTATGAAAAGAAAAGGAGCCGCAACCCGCACACAAAAGATTTTTTAAGTGATGGGCAAAAAGCCAGTGTGACAAATGCCAACAATTCTTGGCACAAAATCACTTGTTTGTTTGCTTAGTTCAAAGCCAAACTTTCTTTTGAGGCGTGTTTTCATTCAGGCCAGTTTTCAATTGTTGGTTAGATCCCCGAGCTGTTATTACCCCGGCTGGCAATCTACAAACGTTCACATTTTTGCCACATGGTCGTGTCATGAACTGCGACATTTTATTGACATTAGATAATGGTCGAATGGTTTAACCACGTGCCGCTTAATTGCATCATCGGCAATGTTTTACAAACAACTTAACTAGCTCATACTTTTAATTATGACAAGCCCAACAATAAACGAAGAAAGTTGTGCCTCAGATGCATAACTACCCGAGATAAACCTTGGATTTTATGGTTTTATGTGTACGATATGTAGTAAAATCATAAAATTCCTGCTACACCCACGTGAAACGAAAGTTTAGGGAATTTATAGCTACTCTAATTAATATTATGAACAATAAATGTTTCATTGGGTTGATTAGATGAATTAACAAACTGCTTGTTGAGTAATAATGTTTAGCACATTTAGGTTTAATTTTGTTAATTTCGGTGTTTTCATTACCATTGTTAAATAATCCGCGAGCCAGACAGAAATGATTTCGAATTTGTGCCAAATAATTCAACTAATGTGATAAATGAATAATTATAGGGGAATTTTTCGGAATATGTCAGTAGATAAACTTCCTTAGGTTTGTTTGAAATATTATGCGAATACCCATCAACCGGATTAAATCTACCAAATCATCATTTAGTAACCATTTTATGGTTGTTCGGCACCATTTCGTTGGAACTCCAGGCGAAATCTTGCCCGGCAGCAAGTGCAAATATTTTCGGTTAATATTTACATATAAGCCAGATAAAGTCGAACGAAATTTCACCCGTGATGTTCGAGAAGATGGCCTGAAAGTGAGTGTGTCACTGAGTCAGATGTGATAACGTTAGAGTTTGATGATGAAACAACCCAGAAGATGTTAATTAAAGGGTTGGGAACGTGTTCAAAACAAATACCGAGTGAAACTAAGCTGAAAAACCGAGTTCAGTCTGTCAAGCCGAACTGGAAAATTATGTAAATCAATTAATACATATAAATCGGTATTTAACAATGCATTTCTTCGACTGTTGCATCACTTGGGGGAAAGACTTTCTTCTTTGTTTTCCCGCATCAAAATGCCCACACGAAATTCAAATCAATTTTCTCGCTCAGTTTAATTTGAATCAAGGCCATGCCAAAATAGATTTCCTTTTACAGTTGGAGCCAAAACAAATTGGGCACAAAGGCATTTGGCCTACTAATAAAAACCGAATCATTCACAACAAAGAGGCCTCACAAAGGCCCACAAAAAACATGTCATTAAATAATGCAAAGTGATCGCAAATCATGTCGAGAATTCTTGGCCTCTGTTTTTGCCATGCAAATCATTTTGAGCTAGTTAATTAAAACATCTTCAGCGTTTTGACGAATATTCTTTTGGGGGAACGAAGCCAACCGTTAGCTCCACATAATTTGTTTACCTTTTGTTGAATTTTTTGCCTTTGGAATAACATATTTCCATTCCCATGCGCTCTCGAAGAATCTCCCAATTAGGTATAACAATTATATTTATGTTTTCTGGGAGTTCTGCAGGTGAATTGGAAATGGAAAGCGCGAGAGCTATGACTTTCGGTTTTTTTAGTATTCTCGGAAAGATATTTTAGACGAAGATAAAGTTTTGGTAGTTCATAGTCAAATTTCACTTAGTGGAAGTGAAGGTAGCCTATTTTGACTTTGAAGAAATTAGGTGGGAATTTTAAATACTCAAAGAGCTTGTAGTTTTTGTGGGTAACTCAAGAGAAATAGGTTTTTAGGTTTTCAATTATGAAAATGAAAATGGAACGTTAACAGAATTTAAACGACAATTTCAAATTAACTGCAAGCAAACACAAAGAATAAAGACTTTAGATTATTGACAAACAAAATAAGTTGGATAAATTTCACTTTGTCTCTATCCGGCTACCTCTTAATGTATATAAATCACAGTTTTATACAAAGCGACATATTTTTGCAACCTTTTAAATTTACATATAAATTGCTATCAGCGGCAGGTTAAAATATATATGTTAAACACAAAAAAATGTTTGTTACGCAAGAGTCGAGTTCA